ATTTGTAAATAAAATAATAACTAATAACAAACGATCATGCCTTAGGCAAACATATTTCGTTATATTCAATCCATTACCTTACAGTCTATATAGACAATAGCTATAGCTAATCTTTACTCTAATCTCTCTCTCTTGAATTGTATACGTATCTGAAAAAAAACGTAGTCTCGAATACATATACAACGCTGAGATAATAATTTTTGCAAGCCTCCAAATGAGTATACACTTTGCAGTTTTATTTGTACTTAAAAATTTATATTTCCTTGCAATTTATACATTGTACAGATGTATTCGACAGAGAAAGAACTGGCACTAAACTAAAGATGAAAGCCTCTCAAAAGAGTGAAAGCAAGTGCAGCGTAGTAGACTGAATAGCCAAGGTGATCCGTCTCTCCCATTTGTGCTAGTAATTGGTAGAGCCCACTATGCCGCGTTGATAAAATCGTCCACGCTCAATTAAAACCCGGTTCGTTAGTATCATTAGTGTAATTATAATAACCAAAACTCGTCTGAAAATATTGACTCAAGCACGCGCGAGTTTTCTTAAGCGCGCAACTTGGCTAAGTACATCCTAAGGAGATGAATTATGGGGTGGGGTGAGAGTGACGGTAGACTTTGAAGAGAGTCCTCTCACTAGGAACTTTAATAATTATTCCAAAACCTGGAGATTATAATTAGCAGAGAGGAGGGAGGAGATCAAAGAAGATGAGCTGGCGTCAGAGCTCCGAGTATCAATCAGGCTGGCGTTTTTTCAGCTTCATTGATCCTTTGTCTAATGAGCCGAGCATAGCTTTTAATTTTTCCATTTTTCCATTTTTTTTATTTTTTTTACTTTTCGACTATTTTAATTATTCTAAGGCATGCAGAATACTTTAATCCAAAGACTAATCTCCAAGTCTTTTTTTTTTTTTTAGGAAACATAATGAGTAGACTTGTAAAAAAAAATTTTCATCGCTCGTTTGTCCCCGAGAATTTTCCTCTTCCTTGTACGCTGGGTATTCCCATGAAAGTCTAGGATGGAACGACTGTATCCGAGAAAAGCAGCGATGGAATCAACAAAATAGAATACGTACAATAAGCGGAGTTTGCTAGCTTGATGCTTCGGTGAGTTTACGGTGCAGTGAAGAGAAAAAATATCGAGCACAACTTCCTGGCTAGAGTGAAGGAGGAAAATATCGGAAGGGAGCGAGAGAAAGGAAAAATTCTGGTCTTCGAACGCATAGAGCCATAGCGATTTATCCCTAATGCAAGTATCCTTTAAATATTTTTCCCTCGTTTTGCCTTTTCCTCTTTTGCATAAATTTTTTGCTCTATAGCCCATACCGTTTTTCATTATTCTGATTTTAAAGTCCCTACTTGCTTTCATTCTGCTACTGCTGATAGGTTATTCTATGTACAGAAATAATGAAGTACAGAGATATTTTTTACAAATGACGATTCAATCTTCATTTTTCTCAGAATTCAGCTTCATTATTATCAAACATAAATTTTTATCTCAGTTTTTATGAGATTACATTTATTTTCAGTTAAAATGCAATGTTGACAACTATCTAAACTGTAATATTAGGATCATAAATGTGGAAGGAATGACGAGTATTAATTTAACAGTGAAACTATTTATACAATATTCATTAGAATGATACTGATGACGAGCAATACTTATGATGAGAAACGTAATAATAAAAATCGGATTCAGTGTTTGGTTTAGTTATAACAAAACAAATAAGGGTTGAGAAAAATTTTCTTCGTACTCTAAAAGTAGGAGGAAAGAAAATATAGTATAGAAATAAATACACCTCTGAATACGATTTGAAAGCCTTGTATTGATTGCGATAGAAACAGGAGGTAAAAATAAAATTCGCCCTCCTTAATATCTGCAAAATAATGACGTTTACGTGTTACGAATCTATGGCTCAAGCGCTCTCGTTCCCTCTTTTATTCTTCTTTACCAATTATTTCCTTATACAATGTCTCTGTTAATATCATTTACCTCAGAATATACTAATTTTCTCGAAAATTAGTGACCTTCTTTATCTCTGCCAAATTTTTTCTATACGTGCTCGATGGTCTGTGGATAACTTAAAGCACAATTGTACTGATTTTTATGGCTTTGTCTGTGAGTAATTTTTTTATATGAATTGAGTCAAGTAACATTTGTTCGATCATAAAGTCAACGAGCCATTGACCTCCGAATGTTGGATTATAATGAATGTTATTGCATAACTCGTAATTTTGAAATGTTATACCAAAAGAGTTGAGTAATTAAATAATACTCCTCCAATTATTTATCCTCTTTCTACAAATTACTCGATTGTCACATGTCGAGATTCCGTTTCACTTGACCGAATGTCGATGAGAGCACCAAAGTTTTACTCTCCTAAATCTTTACAAAATCAACGATGCTATACGAAAAATAGTATGCAAAAAAGCTGCGTCAACTTTAACGTGCTTTAATCTGGAAAATAATGATCCCCACAGTCCAAGTTGAGCAGCAATGCAGCGCACTGCTCGAAGCTCGTCTGAAAAACGTTTTTCGCCCAACTGAAATTATGCAAACGCGCTCTACTTCCACTGACCTGCGGATTTCATTGTCCGAGAGGACGTCTATTTTCCAGGTGGATCCTCCAGTCGCACGATCATCCTCCACAAAATGCAAGGACTTCCGCTATTTGAGGAACAGTTTTTGGGGGGATAGCCTCGAGTGGAGTAAAGGTACGTAGATATAAGTGGAGTTATTATATGCAGAGCTTCGTGCTGGTGAGCCGCTAATATTATTTGCATGTGACGCGTAGGCCGACAGGAAGAGTTTTAAGTTGATCGATGTCGTAATAGACCCCACGTATACTCGTGCAGCGATGTAATACTGGACAACAGCCCTCCATGCGATTATGGCGTTGTCTACTGTTATACTTTGGGGAAGGGNGCCTTACGGGGTTTTTTTTTTTTTTTTTAGAGCTTGCAGCGAATACTTCTATTGCATTGTTGCTGCTGCTGCTTATAATCTGCGTAGCCTAAAGATGAGCATGTACACCAATTCAATCAAAATTTTAGCCCTTATATATTTTTTGTGATAAAAAAAGTTGAGAAGAGATTCCATCTTTCCATCTTTGTGGTTAAAAAAGCAGCATTTATTATTTCGTCTGCCGAAAATATAAAACATAAAATTTACCTCATAAAAGATGGCATCTTCATTTTCACGAATTATTTACCTTTGACGAGACAGCTCAAAAACTGTATTTAAGATATGTGTTAATTAATACTCAGTTGACTATACAAATGAGATTTTGATAATCTTAATTCGTGACCGTTTGAAACAATAAATAAATTTTTTAAGATAAAAGACATACCAACAATTGTATGACAGCACGTTCTCGTGTCTCAAGAGTATCTTAGCCTTGAACCACCGAAGAAAATCCGTTCGGAGCTCGATATCCTAGATATAATTCCAGCTATAGAGGAATAAGTGAGGAAGAAGTCGATATTGCTAGATGTAGAGAAGGAAGAGAATGAGTACAAGTTCTAGCGAGGGCCTCATGTCTTTGAAAAATAACACACCGTTTCTCTTTATCAGTCAGTTTCAAAGTACTCAGGAAAATCGATTTGGGTACAATGAATAATGCAAATGTAAGCAATTTGCGATTTCTCACCCAAGATACGAAAGAGAAGTTGTTGCAGTAGTATCGTTCCACTTTAGCGTAGACAGCACCGAGATACGTTCTTCCTTTCTTTCCCCCTTTCGAGTGCAAAATGTAAATGTTTATGCATGATCGAATTATTCCTCTTTCTCTTGGCGCAGTTAGTAACTCGTTGCGTTCTTTTTCATTATTCCATGCAACTCTGTACGGGCTATTTATTCTCTGACTTTCGAGTTATCCAAACGACAACCCAAAATTTATTTAGCTATTGGTTTTCTACAAGAATTATTCGCGTCTTTCCTCGAAATTCACTAATATACCTATCCTGAATTTTAGTTGAGGGGCCACTACTAAGATTAGAATCAAGGATTGGGGAGAGGATTAGTGGAGCCCACAAATAGCCGATGTGGCTCGACAAAACATCCCAAAGGGGAGCCTCCGATTCGAGTGTATACATATTGTATGCAGGTAGACAATAGCAACGCCGATATACTCACTGATGGTTATAGGATTCATAGCATCAGTTAAATTTGTTTTACTTACTTTTACAATCAAAGCTGCCGACTGGGACACGATTTAGTTTTATTGGTGGGCACTACAAGATGATGTGTCTACTATTTTTAAGGATACTTGGCTTATTTGACTACAGATAAGTTAAGGGACTCAATTTGTGTACATAAAAACAGTCGCATGGTTTACTCAATATATGAGTTTAAACATCGTGAAAGAAGTAAACGTCGCTCATGGTTGTAAGGTTCTCCCTGTTTTCCAAATCTGTTTGAAATTAAATCAAAGTAATGGAATGTCGTCCTGGTATTAGATGAGTACTAGAAGCTTCGAAATCTTCAAAGCAAGAGTATTAAAAGTGTCAAAGAGAGGGTGGGTATACCTATTATATGCTCAGTGGGTATCCTGCTCTCGAGCCGTCTGACCATACGCAGGCTTTTACTACTTGCGTACGTCGATGCCATCCGTTTGAACAGATCATTGGCTATAGATAGCCTTGCGACCAATGAAAGTCGAGAGAAAAGCTCTCATGTAGGAGTCTCCACTCTGTAGAGCTTTGAGCGCCTCAGGGCAGCGTCGACTCCATTCGGTTTTATTTTGGTGCGTATACACAACAAGCCCCCTTTGCAATCGATTCTTTTTTCTTTCGTTTTTATTCACCATTCACTTTCATGGATTAAGGTGGTTTTTTATGCCAGTAGTTTTTATTCAGTAAAGTAAAAGCCCTCTTTTCTACTAAACCCTTTTTTGGACGATCAAATTAAAGGAACAAATGACAAAAGAGTTTGTATCGAAAGTAGATGTTTGTTGATATTTCATGGGATCAGTTTAACTTGTAGAAAAATAGTTAAAACTTACGTCAATCGTGACGCCATTTACATTGAAAACCAGCTTTTCGTGTTGTTTCTTCAAGAACTTGTAAATGTGTACGTTGTCCTTGTACCAGGACACGGAGTACAGCTTATCAGAGCCTAGCTCGTACCTAAAATTAAAAAATGACAAATTTTTTAATTTATCCAAAAGCCTGCGATGTATTTAAGAATTAAAATGTGATTGTGTATTTCAAGGGGCTTTAGTTTGCATTTTATTTTCAGCCATGCACGTGCACAGAGGCATCCGAATATGCTCACGTCACGCATGCAAGAGCCTACGCTCATAAATATGTACATAAACACGGTAGTTCAGTGGGAAACGTGGTCAAATTTAGTATTAGCTGATTGATGGCTTGATTAATTCATGCAAGCTCTGTCATCGTCTGTAGACCCTACAGCTTCTCTTTCCCTACCTTTGAAAATAATATTTGATGATTATTTTGCCAAATTAACAATTTATGGGATGAATTTATATAATTTTCCGCCCTCGGGTGGTTTTGGGAGGCTGGTACTTCCTCAGGCGAAAAAGCAGTTTTCCGGAACTCGTTCGAAAAGTCTCCTTTACGAACCTCGTTACGTTCCTCGCCTTCGGCTCGGGCCGCAAACCTCTCGGTTCGCAAACAGAGACTTTTCAAATTCGTAGGAAAACTACCATTACGTCGTTAATATTTTTCTGCTACTTCCCTTCAAGTCTGAGTGGTACAAAGGCCTGTAATAAATGGTAAAAATTTGACATTAGTTTATTTTATATTTTGTTCAACTGCAAATACTTCAATTCCATGTATCGATTCATTAGGACCTGTTTTACAAAGTGCTAACATGACGTGTCATTTTTGCAAAACGTGGAAAGTCGTCTTAATAATTAATTTATAATCATCTATTATTAATAATCATCTATTTTACTTCCCTTCGCACCTAATTTGCTGGTACTGCTACCGACATTTTATACCACGTTTCTGGGCCGATGCTCGAGTGGCATCTCAAGGAGACTCTGACCACTTAAGGAGGTGGAGGCAGTACCAAAGTTGTGAAGTACAGTGATAGCGAAATACACCTACACATTCCATACACAGGGTGAAATTTGTGGATGGCTCGAAAGCTCGAAGTAAGCGAGTAAGGAGCGAGTGTTATTGCAATATAACAGGTTAGCCTTGCTCGTAATATTCGACGGGAGAGTGGACTTGAGAGAGATTATTAAATTCCTGTTCTCGTGGCTGGGCTCGGTCTTATGAGACACTCCTTCGAGCCACGGTAGTAATTTTTTTTTTTTTTTTTTTTTTTTAAAGTTATAGTTTCCAAGTTCAATAAACAAGAAGTTTGTTCTTGAAAAGTTTGTTGTGTTTATGCTAAAGCATAAACTTTTTAGTTATCTGTGCATCATTGATAAAATAAAATTTTTCCCTAACATTTTTCAGAAAGTATCTAAGATTGGTACGCGGGATTTTAAAAAAGTATCAAGATTTCAGGAGCATAAGTATTTCTGACGAGAACCAATACCAATTTATACACTTGGATACGAGAATAACTCTCGATAAAAGTTGCTAGATTGTAATGCGGTGTTTCCAGAAAAATTTATAAAAAATAAATTTAGTGAATACATCAAACGCTGATGCTAATACACTATGAAAATCGAATTGACTGGCGACTAATTAGCATATCATTAAGATTTCCGTTCGGGGATTGTTACTTTACGTGGGTAATAGAAACGAGCAACATTTGCATCTGGGAAAACTCGAACTTATTTTGCCGTAACCCAGCCAATGTTTTCCAAGCCTTCGCGAAAGACGTTGTTCATCGAGCAAAGTAATTAGATGAAAATTAAAAAATTTTCTCTGAAGCAAAGTAAGCACCACTTTGGTGAATTAACGTGTACTCTTAATACTCCAGTCGTTGGTGCTGTAGTTAATTAGCCAACCAATCGATTTATTAACTGGCAAATCACAGCTCAGACCAATTGACTTCAATTTCCAATAATTTACATGTGCGGCTCGGTCGGACTTTATTTCTTTGAACAACCATCCTTAATTAGTGGCGAACATGAACTGGGAAATCTGATAAGTGTTGCGAGGAACAACGAGAATCACGAATAAAGTGAATAAGAATGGCATGATTCTGTTGTATTCTTTAGACTCAACTTTGATAAATAAATATTTCAAAACGATAACCAAAACTGTACACTCTTACGAAAGCGAATTCGCGCTTACAAAGAGAGAAGAGACCGAGTCACGGAGTATAATTTTCATCCCCTTCTTTGCTCTCAAGAGCGCAAAAAATGTTCAAGAGGCAAGAAAAATCGAGTCCTGGCTGCAGCACTCGCGGCAAAGGCTCTCGAGCCCACCATCTTCGTCACCACAGAGCCAACAGCCGACGAGGCAGCGCTTACCTCGCTTGCCAGCAGTAGCTGTAACACCTGCAGCCATCAGCGTTTATGTCATGCATTCAAAACCAGTCAAGGACGATGAGACGACCTGTAATAATAAGAACAACCCACGTACAAAGCTGTGAGAGGTGGTAACGATACCGCAAAACACCCTGGTGCATTTAATTCTCGTTGTGTGGTGAAAAATGAGTGGAAATAAAAAAGTACACGAGTCCCTGGTGCTACCTTGCTGCAGTGACCTGCCCCCGGAGGGTTGCATTCGACGGGAGGCTATAGCAAAGGAATAGCAGGAGCCAAGCATTAGGGTGCACGAGACGTCGGAGTTCCAGTGAGCAACGAGGGAGTGAGATAAAGCTGATGGGAGAGGGGTCAACAGGGGGGGAGATCGGCACCTGCCAGCATCAAGGGATTGATTTGCATCCGCTGGCTCATTTACCGGGGTCGCTTCCTTGATGGGGTTTCCTGAGTTTTTTGACCTCCGCACCTTTTTTACTTCTTATTTTTCTCCTCCTCCTCTTCTTCTTCTTCATAATCATCCTGTCCTCGCTGTGTTACTTGGCTGTGATATACGATCATTTTCTTCGTTTTCTTAATTTGATGCGAAGTATCACCTTTTTCTTAAAGCTAGATAATTTTTCTTTAAAAAATACCAAATGCAAATAAACCATCCTCATAATGGCGTAAGGATGTCTTAATGCAGTTCGTAGCTTTTTCCTGTAACAGTGTATTTACTAAACCATAGTACGGAGAGTAGTGTTTTTAACTATTAAATTGTACATAAACACGAAACAGAAATGTAAAGAGCTTCGACATGTTGGTTTAATTTTTGATTTTTTTTTGTATACAGAATCAATCTACTTATTTGGTAGACGTAGACAAGAAGCCACTAAAGTAGCTCAGTGAAATCCCTCGAGATAACTCGAGTTAATCTCTTGTGTTGCTTGAGAATTTACGTCACCCTTATGCTTGAGATCGACATGAAGATCGTTTTTTTGGTGTTGGAGTCATATAACACTGCTCAATTTTGTTATTATTATTGTTGCTGTTGTTACTACGAGCTTTACTTACTTGGGTTAAATTAGTAACACTTTTCATAACATACGTAAGTTAAAAAACTTATTAATCTAAATATTGTTGACATTCTCATTTCGTGTACCCCGATCACGTCTGTCAATACCAAAGAGCTAGGGAAAAATGAAGGCCCTAAGGGGTGGAAATTTTCTTTTTTTTGTCTGAGAAAACGTAAAAGTGTAGTTAAAAAAAAGTGAAGCAGTAAAGACTCTTTTTTCATCATTTTGTTTTAGGCGCTATACTTCGGTACCAAAAATAAAGTGATTAAAACAGAGTCTTGACTGCTTGACTTTTTTTTTCTCCTATAGTAGCTATAGGTGCACACACTTTTGGAGTCAGATGCGAAATGCAGAAAAATTCCTTTAAATTAATAAGAGTAATTTAGTAATGAAGAAAGACAATACTAAGCGTACAGTAAATTGTCAAGCGGTAAAGTTGTACGAAAACTCTAAATTTCCCACCAAAGCAGGGAGGCGAGGGTTGGTTGATTACACTGAAAGTAGATCCTGCGCGCGAGCAATTGATCGGGGCGCTTTGAAAGCCCCTCGCTGACGTTGCAACTTTCGCTCGTCTCTCGCGAGCAGGTGCGTAGTTATCTACGATCTGCGTCGCGCTGCTGTTGCTGTTGTTATAACTGCGTGTACACAAATAACGGCAGGGAAAAGTTCAAAGGTGGTGCTGTTGTACGTATGTAGTGGTGTTGCGTGCCCCTCGAGGTAAAGTTCAAGTGCCGAGCACCAGCTCTTGAGCTTCGAGTGAAAGGCGTCAAAGGGTCTGGGGAGGAAAATAATGACGTGGAATGGGATATCTTGGCTGTGTGATTTGTGGTCACAAATTTTGGATTTTTATTTAGTCATCGTTAAAAATTATTTATTTAAATTAAAACCAACGCAAGGAAGAATATTTTATGGTAGTTATCCCTCATGACAAGCCAAAAAGGACGAAGAGTAGGGACTAACTAAAAGTTTTTGTAAAACGCAACATCAGGTGGATTTACTTGTGGAAATTGATTGAACAACGTCTAGTCACGTATCCAGAATCTCAAGAAATAGTCTATTACAGTTACCAAGGAAGAGAAGGAGATGTTGCTAAAGCCAAAATATTGCTGACGAGACAAGTTCATTGAGCGAAAAAATGGTAGGTTCTGCGGGTGAACAGAGTTTGGCATTTCTTCCGTCCTGCCTTTACTCTCTTTCTCTATTTTTCTTTCAACTTTTTTTTTCTAAAGCAATATTCTAGTATTTAAATAAATTGCCGATACAGAATTTGGTTTCTTCTCCTTCATTTTGTATCAATAAAATTGTTTCTAATTTAAAGATTAGGTTGCATGTATTTTTTTCTATTTTATCAAAACTAGCTCTAAAGATTTTTAAGCTCCAATTTCAACGTAATAGCTGTACATTGAAAGCCATGGACCAACGGAGTAGCAGCAACTCCAAAAACAGTACCTACATTGCCAAGTACGGAGATTCTACTGCAGCAGTCGAGCCACATTCAGAGATGAGCTTCAGACAAGCGGATTCCTCTGCTCTTCCCAGCTACCCGACCGATATCAGCCAATGCACACGTCCTCAGGTGGAAGCTAATTAACGAGTCTCCAGAGGCACATACGCCAGGATGTCAGCCAATTAGCGCTGTGTCACACGTACTAGGGGTGACGCCTGTATTGTGTCTCTGCAGCCGTCGAGGATCTCACCCCCAGACAAGAAAAAGGAAAGTGGGCACGTGCTCGCATGAGGATGTGTCTCCTACGCGTTTCGAGTGCGAAAGAAGCCTTAATAAAATGGAAATCGTGGATAGTGTGGTTTACGGATTTTAGAAAGGATAATGTAATCAATGAGACGAAGATCTTACACCAAGATATTGTGAAAGTTTTAATTTTTCACGGTCTCATTATGTTGGATCCCAGCAAATGTTTCCAGCGAACCAAAAAGAAAAAAAATACTTCAGCTGGATGATCTCTTATTGCATCTGGCAAGGTACATAATAGAGAGATCAAATATCGATCTGAATGAAGTACACACAACAGCTGTCTTTACCCTCATATTTAACACCCTGATGCTATCAAATGAAAATCGAAAATTTTCACCCTTACTTTCCTTCGTTTAAGTAAATTGAAGCTTTCCTACCTCCAGAGCTGATTTTACAACTCAGTTTCCACTTTTTCAAAAGTTGTTTCTCGAAAAAGGAAATTCTTGCACCTGCGCTGCAACGCGAGTATCCACGAGATACGGCTCTCTCTTTTTCTATATCTCAGTTTTTTTTATTTTCCCCATAATTTTGCAGTGTTATGGCACAGTTGTGTATTAGATGGTGGTCAAGTACTAAGGTACGAGTACGGGTCTCAGACGCCGAGTTTTGCTGGCTAACGCTGTCTGGCTTATTTGTCTCTCCACGCCCAGTAAGTACACGGTTATACAGTCGTCCCCTCTTGCATAGTCTCGATCGTCTTACACGTCAGTGCCCCAACACACACACAGCTGCTTTCTCATTTCACGACTTTTTCTCGAGAAAAGCTCTTTTTTATTTGCTCTTTCTTATTCCATCTCTCGCCTACTATCCGTCCGTCTCATCGTCCGTCGTACGCACTGTGAGCTCCCTTGCTTTTTTACTCTTCCAACCAGTCTGTCTGTGTTTGCCCGATGGCTCACAAAATCATTCAAGATTGTCCATAAAATGGTCGTTTATCAATGTTTCTTTTTCTACAGATGATAGAAATGTGATTTTCATCTCGCCAATATTTAATTTCAATTTTTATCCTTATGTTTCTCCTTTAGTGCACCCATAAACATTTGTGTACTTGAGCACAAGTACTGCACTTCCTGAAATCAGAGATCTCCCTTTTTTTTTCCTTTTTCTCTTCCACGACCTTTTCATGGAAAACTCGTACTTGCAGAGTTCCAAATACGATTGAGAACTTGGTGGGGCTAACGGAGGTTCTACTGCGTTTGCAATGAATAGCGAAGACGTTACGAGGAATCGAGAAAAGCGAAGGCAAAGTTGAAAAAGGTTTCAGTCGAGTCGGAAGACACTTTATACATTTCTTGCTGCCTGAGAGATTTTCTTCCAACTGCAGTTTGACGGTGAATATTTATGCTTGTAAAGTTATTATTGGTGCAGGAATGTGTGTCACTCATTGTATAGAATTTAGACTCATTTATTAATGTCCAAGGTGTACTGAGCACAGACAAAAGTTTGAAATAATTCAGAAAAAATACTTTTTGCACAACAACATTTTATAAAGGAAAGATAACCCCGTAAATGTCCTGCAATATCCTATTTTGTATAAAAAAATTTTTTTTTCAAAGGTTAATTAAAATATACATTTTGCTTTTATACCAAGAGGCTAAGTCGTGATGGTAGCGAATTTCTGACATATATACACACACGCTACGTAATAACGTGGGAATGCATGGGGGCGCGTACAAGCGCTTGGACGAAAAACTTTGGAAAATGAGAAGGTAAAAAAGGAACATGATAACTCAGCAGTGCTCGGCAGAATTATCTCGTATTAATAAGATTATTAAGAGAAAAAGACCAGGAAAGGCTGCAGCTGCAAAGGAAAAAAAAATTAAAACTTTGATATTACGCGCTCGTTCGTCCAGAGTATGTGAGAGAGCGCTTAACAGCGGGCTGCTTCACGCTCCTGACTGCATTAAAAAATACGTGATTTCGAAGAGCTGCCCGGCTTTCGAATATTTAGGGAAAGCACACGCAGTGGATACTTAACTTTTAAACTGAGTCATATCATTCATGGTGGGAGAAAAAATATTTTACGATCTTGTTGGAAAAATTCTACTGGGCATGAAAGTTTATACCAGCGATCGACAACCTTTCCACGTATTGTTTGAAAAAAGTTTTACAAACAAACAAATAGTCTTGGTTTTTTTTGCTGAGGAAAATATTTTATAATTTTTGGCTTGAGATAATCTTCATAATGTTTTTGAAAGCTTATTTTTACCATTAATACTTTTCGGGTGAAAAATCTGAAAAACTTGAATAATTCGTAATCATTTTTATCTAATTTTATACACATTTTGCTCAAAAACCAAAGGCTTTCCAGAAATAAACAGAAAATTTTGTTTATTTATGAACATGTACAATTTTGATTGGTGACAAAAAACTGAAAACAATAGTTTTTTTTACATGTTTGAAGCAAAAAAATCATGTGGTATATATATTTTCGTATTTTTACTGGTTGACAACTTTTCTGTAAACTCACTTTTTCTCAGCAAGATCTTACAAAAACTCAGCATCTGAATATATTTCTTACATCGTATTAATAAATTTTAATCAGTCTATTTTTAAATAACCTCTCATGTATCATACAAGGAGATTATAAAAATTACTGCATTTTTCTGGAGCCTTGATTTTTTTCGCAAAAATTTGAGGTGGCTCTACTTGAGGCGTTTAATGAGAGTAAAAAATGTATATTGCACACGTGATGATTTCAATTCAAAAATTTCAAACCCACCACTCCAGAAAAAGGGTAAAATGGAAATAAATTGATGTATCCAAATTTCTAATACATTCTTCACAGTATGCATATCCCACAGTATAAAGTTTTCGCATTTGTCCTTAAATTGTCAGTAAAAAACTCATTTATAATTTGCAAAGTAATATTTAGCCCAATATTTGAAAGTATAATGGAATTAAAGAAAAATATGAAGCAGTATTTAAAAGCATAGAGTTTAATCTGGAAGGTACACTGGTAACAAGAGCAAGCAGAAAACAAGAAAATTCGAGCTATGCGAGTGCACTCTGCGCTTCAATTAAAAATAATCGCTCTGCTCTACTCGCACTGTTATCAGTTAGATTACACCAAGAGAGAGAAGTCTGACAAAAATTTCTGAGTGTTAATATGATAGCCAAAAGCTAGCACTAACAGCGATAATCGAGGTAATACTATTGCTAAGTAAAAAAGTCACAGTGAAAATGATAGAAACCGTGAATATTTGGGTGAATAACGTGGAGTTTAAAATAACTTTAAAAAATGAAAAACATAATATGCGAAAAAAAAAAAAGCTAAAAATATTCTGATTTAAAAAATTAATGGAAGAGAAACCATTGAAATTTTAACGTCATTGAATGTTGAACGCTTTCATTTGTAAATGAGTGTACCGTTTAAAAAAAACTCATCTGAAAATTTTGCCTTATTATTTTTTCAAGTGAAGAGATCACATATTTTTTATCATATTTCTTTCATGCCGTTAAAATAAGGCAAAAACATTGGTAAACATGAGCCGAATGCAAGAGAAAAATTGACCGGAAAAAAAGTAGAGCGTGAAAATAAGGACAAGTGACAACAACATTAAGGAAGGTAATAAAAAGAAAGATGAAACACTTTAAGAGCATCCCAAAATACTACGTTAAAAAAAGGTTTGGTAAGAAAATGGTAAGAGCATACAGGGAGGGAGAGGGAACGGCTGTGACAAAGGCAGGCGTGTGTGCATGCATTTTTACACAAGTTCCAAAGAGCTAAAATGGGCAAGTGCCCTCTCACCTGCACTCCAGCCTGGCAGACTCGCCTTTCTTGAGGTACGGTGGAACCTTTACTTCAACCCTCAGCGCCTCGACTGCTGTAACACACACAAAAAAAAAAGTACAATGAGCGATGTATTTGACAAAAAAAGGAGGACAAGCGGAAACTAGCTGGCTCATACATATGCCTGCCAACATGTGTGAGCAACTCCATAAAAAATGATTCGTTTTATTTTATAAAACATTTGTTCCTTAACATAAGATTCAATTCTGTATGAACATACCCGAACACCCAAAATTTTTGCCTTGTATCGTTTCAATATTTTTAACTAACGCCTGTACTAAATTATAAGTACCAATTGGTAACATTGAGCAGAAAAAAAAAATTTCAAAGCAATTGTGATAATCAAAGTCATGTGAATCTCAACTGTCATAAGCTTTATGGTTTTATCCATAACTTTTGTAAATTACAGGCTGATCTTGATTACGCAAGAATTAAAATCTATTTGAAATTTCACAAGATTTTTTAAATTAAATCCCTAATTTTCCCAATGTTATTGAGGTAGCCACGATTGTT